TCTTAGTGTTTGCACAGTGCTAGTGGCAGTAGGACTTTGCTTCTCCTAGCTGGAGCTTTCTAGTTCTGTATACTCAGGTATGGACTAGCTTAAGTTATTTGTCCACTTGTTTCCCACTATTAAGCCTAAGTTATTGACCATATTTTAATTTTTAGTAATGTTTTGGTAGAGACAAAAATAAGGTCTCGCTGTCTAATTTAACAAAAGCTGTAGATTGCCTTGAGAGAGACAGTTTTTTGCCAAATGGTGTGTGGGTTCTCAGGGTTTTTTTCCCCCCTCTGTCTTTATGTTTATGCAATTATTCTTTTTCTTTCAACCTTTTTGGTTTGAGAGTCAGTCCAGGTGTGAACTGGAAACAATCCTTGTTTGGGGATGACTGTTGTAAGTTGTTTAAGAATTTAACCAGTTTTACTTAGAATATGTCCTATATTAATTTTCCTCAACAGTATTCTATATTTCAGATGTTATACAATGCCAAGTCAAATGTTTTTTGGATGTCCATCAACTGTATTTAATTTAGTAGATGTGTAACAATTTAGCATAAAAAGCATTCTTAAGAGGGTTGTGCCAATGATCTAGCTTATAGAGTCTCATCAGCGTTGTTTATAATCAAAACAAATGTACCAGTTGAGGTGTACAGCTCATGTTGCTTTGTGTAAATAATACTTTCTGTTAGCAAGGTCTGCTTCCAAAAAAAATTTGCCTTATAGGTAAGTGGATGGAAGAGCTTTTCTGATCATGTCTGCCCTGTGTCTCAGTGAAGCTAGAGATTCAGTAATGCAGTCAGCAGTTACACTCAGTGTTATCAGAAAAGGATAGGTTAGGACCTTAATCACACTGACTTTATTTGTAACAGAAATGAGATTTTGCTAGTAGAGTTTCAGTGGTAGCAAAGATATTCTCAGTTGTTTTCAGGGTTCAGTATCATGTCAGTTAGGATAGAAGTAAAAGACACTGGAAGCTTCAGAAGGCCCAGTCTCTAAAAATATTTTTTGCTGCTGTTAGTGTTGATAGAACTGTATCAGCAAAGTAGTGTTGCAGGTTTTGTGGTGGGGAAAAAAAGCAAGTAGAGATGCAGTTGTGGTTGTACACTTTACAGCAGTGCTTAGATATATTAAAAGTTGTAGTGGTAGTGCTGTTGTCAAAATGCTGAATTGCAAAAAGGATTCCAAAAGGCATAGGTCCTTTTAAGATAGCTTTGCCTGTGACTGGTTTTTCATACAAAGGGGAGTGAGGAAAGTATAAAAGGAAAAATGTAGTGATATTTGGTGGACTTTTTGCATTGATTCATGTTTTCTTCTCTTAAAGTTTAACTGTTTGCAGGCAAGAGGGGAAAAGAACAGTGTAAGGACTTGCTTTACATGGCATGTAAATAAAAGGAAGCTTGTTTCTAGTGATTTAGTGAAAATTAATGAAGATTTTGATATGTCTGATCTATAATTCTACTTACTTTCAGCAGATTTGTTGCTCTTTGTTAGGTTTTCAAACTCAGTATGTTGCACTGAGAAAGAAACAAATTCTATATGGAAGTAAATTAGAAGCAGCACCCTTAAGAGCTTGGAAAAGCGTTAATAGTGTTAGAGACTAGTTTTTAAAAGCAGAGATAGAATGATTAGAGCAGTGGTTATCAGTGTGGTCCACAGCGATCCATAACATGCAATAGGTAAGTCTGTTGTCACAGTGTGAGGATCTGTGCTTTCACTGGCTTGACAGCTGAGAAATGTTCATAATTGCTGGAAGGAGAGCATCCTCAAGCTTCTAAGAACTGCAGACACAGTTTAGAAAGTTTTGAAATTCTTCAGTGATTGACTTCATATCTCACTAAAAAAAGTCTGCTTCTAGCAGAAGCAGAATCTTAGAAATCTGTTTTTTGCAAAAGAGTGCCTTGTACGAGGTTAGACTGGATGAGCTAGCCTGTATTCTGTTTCTGGCTACATACATGTGAAGACATGTATGTAGAAACACATACAGTCTCTGTGGACATGCTTTTTGGAATCTTTCAAAATAAAACTGAGAAGGTAAATAATACAGGGCACAATACTAAAGAAGAATATGTGGAGTGTGAAAAGATGAAGTGTAGGTGTGACCTTTTCTATAAATGTTCAGGTGTAACATACCTAGTTGCATAGTTCTGTCATTTCTTAGGTAACTGATACTTCAAATCTATTGCATCTTCCTCTGTCCTTCTTGTTCCTAATCTTGAGTTACTGTTGAGAAATTCAGGGGACTAACTGATGTTATATCTGGCTGGAAATAACCTTTTCCTCCTACAAAGCCCTTTACTCCTGTTTCTTCTTCCCTTAGGAAATTTCTATACTTGATATTCATTGTGACTTAGTTTCAGGTTCTGTGCAAGGAAATATACTGCATCCAACACCTTTCCCCCCCTTTCTCTCAGTGCTCTCTGGTCCCTTTGTGGTAGGTTTTTTCTTGTTTGGTTTTTTCCAAGGTGATCTTCCTAGCTGCAGAATCTAGTCAGATCCCCCACAGTGCTGCTGCTTTATTTACCTGTAAACGCTCAGTCGCTCTGGAATAGCCTGACTGGAGCCAGCTCATAATTTCAATCCTGATACTTAGTTTGTGTGGATGTGGGGTTTTTTTGCTTATTTCAATTAATGGGATGTTACTTATATTGGCATCCCTTCAGTTGAGCGGTCATGCTTGTCAGCCTTGCTGCATTCTTGATAGGGAAGAGTACAATCTGTTTTTAATTCTAGCTACTGTGTATCTTTATACAGGCAGCTGTTTGAGTAGCTGGCTGAAGAAAAGGTGGATCAGCTGGGCTATGAGAATGTTAGGGATAATAACTAGTCTAGGGAAGGTGTGAGCTAAAATACCTGCATAGAAGGCATAAAAGGAACTATGACCTACAACACACATACTTTAATGTCTCTGTACTGTTTTCATAATAATAGCATCAATATACTTTTGTCTCTTCAAAGGGAAGAATGCTGCATTAACGGAGTCAGAGTAGGGGCATATACTGCTCTCTGGGGGAGTTAGTGTAACTTTTCAAACAACAAAATTCTCCCATCTGTCTCCAAGCTGTCCCCCAGCCTCGCCCCCTCTTTTTGTCCTCATGATAGCCATTTGCTATATCTTGTACAGCTTTTATTATAGGCAGATTCCTCATCGGTCTCTGCTGTATCACAAAGCTCAGAAAAAGGTCAAATAAAAGAATGTGTTACCTGTTCTTGATATGCTGCCCTATCTGTGTAGTCATAGTTCTCGGAAAAAAAGCCCTAAGGAGCAATTGAGATCCTAGAGCAAGTAGGCTGTACTCAGATTGGAGAGGGAATCATCCCTTATGCTTCTTGGAAGATATTGTTTAGAATAGTTGCATAATAACAGTTAATTTTCAGTCTTGCAGGAATTGATATTTATATATCAATTATGGAGAGTGGAAAAAATTGAGAGGCTTAGCTGTATTCTTTTTGGCCTTGTTACCTTTGTCTCAATGTAGACAGTATACGTTTGCATTCTTAGAAATATGTTTGTGCCTCATGTGATGCCACTGAATGTGTAAGTGAAGTGTATTTCTGAATTGTATTTTATTTTTGAAAGAAGCTTAGCAGTAAATAAAGGCTGCTTTTCCATGCTGCATATAGCAGCCAACTTGAGTAGTGGCTAATTTGGGAGCTAGGTGCTTTAAGCCCATGTGCATGGTTGAACACAAGTCCAACTCCCTTCTAAAGTGGTTTCTGATAGAAATGCAGAAAATTGTTCTGAATCAAATTGAAATTCATGAGATAAAAAATTCTTTTTGTCAGAAATAATGTTTATTTGACTATCAACATGAGGTATGTTACAGACTAGGTTAGGGTTGTATAATACATCTGTTTTGAGGTTAGGCAGTTTTCATTGTTAGATGCCTGAGATTAAAAAAAAAATGTTCAGACATGGTGTTAATTTTCTTAAATATTCCCTCTGCATACTGTTTCAGTTTTTATTGTCAGAAGTAGCTCAGCAGAGCTCTTCTATTATCTGTGTTTTCTGACTGGTTTCAAGTAAAACATTTGAAGCAGACACCTGTCAGACTAGGGGAGGTATATTACCAACAGGGAGGAAAAGCAGCTTGACAAGTTTCCTTGGTCTTACTTGAGGAAAAATTGATAAAGGGGTACCAAATGATTATTTGCTTTGTCTATTGCAAGAATCAGTATTTGGAATGTATCTTCTTCTACTTGCTATTTTCTGGGCTATACCTGGTTCTTGTTTTTGGAATTAGGATACCTTTATGTGACTGTATGTACAATTTAAATAGTGTAATCTCCCTTGTTTTAAGAGGCCATGGACCAGAGCATTCTTCAAAAAAAAAAGTATTAGATATTGCTGATTATTAAATCCTCCAGCTAATCTGCCTTTTGTATGTTGTTCTTTCTTTTTCTTCCTGTTATTCCCCACTGTGGTTTAAAGAGAAATACTACTGGAGAAAGTAATATTCCAAGTGAAAATGTAGGAGTGTATCCTTTTTATCTCCATTAAAGTTTTCATGCTTTACTTGTTCATTTACAGTTTATTGTAACTTGGATCTCTAAACTAATGTTACTTGTGAATACAGGTGTTCATTGCATAACTAGGTAATTCTTTTAGTTTCTGGAAAACTACCACCTGTTAATATTGGACGGATAGCTCTGTCTCTAAGCATGAGATAAAGTTTAAAGACCATGTTATTTGTAGGAGAATATACCATAATATTTGATACCTTGGTGTTAGGAAGCATTTTTTGAGTTTGAAAAACAGCATTCTTGGATTAAAACCTTCAAACTTTTGACTCTCAGACATATGTATGTGTGCAGCATGACCTAAACAGAGTTGCTTAGCAAATTAAGAGCTGCCATTTCAAAAACAAATATTAATATTCCCTCCTAAAGGCATTTTAATGATAAACCTTTCAAATAATAAGACTTTATATGATGCTGATATGGAAATAAAGTGCAGATGTGTATGGTAATTATTTGAAGGTGTGGGGATAACAGTTTAATTTCTCTTTTCAGTATGATGCTGTTCCAATCCAGTCTAGCGTGGTGTTATGCTCCTGTTCATCCCCATCAATGGTGAGGAATCAAGCAGATTCCAGCACTCCATCTGTCATTTCCACCTGTGGCAACAGACAGGGATCTAACATGGAGGGCACTGCAGCTGAATCAAGATCTAGTTCAAACTCCTTGCAGCAACATACAGGACAGCAGCCTCCACAGCCTCGAAAGAAACGACCTGATGACTTCAAATTTGGGAAAATTCTGGGTGAAGGATCTTTTTCAACGGTAACTTTACTTTTCATAAGAAGAGCCAAATATCTTAGATAAACTTCAAAATTTGTTGTGCAAGTAATATTACTGAGATTTAAATCTGGAGAGAATATACTGAAGGGTAAATGAGCAGGACATAGTGGCTTTAGTTTTAGCTATTAAAAATAAGTGTTGCACTAAGTGTGGGTGCTGATTTTTTTCAAGTACCTTTTAAACTTGTCAGAAGTTCCATTGTATCCTGATGACTTGATGCTTGGATTTTTAGGAAACATTGCTATCTAGTGTAAGTTTGATATCGTAATGAATTATGTTAAAATTTTGTGATAGAAAGGATTGGAACTGGGCTAGGAGTTTGTCATGGTAAGAACTTCTATGCAGTGTGCTGGCTGTGGCAAGTGTTCCTGCCAGATGCCTAGGGAAGAAAGTAAGAACAGTGATACTTCTCCAATATTCTTTCTCAGCCTCTAGTGTCATGGCCCTCAAGGACTTCGTGAATCACAGTTAGTATCTTTGTATTCAGTAGCCTTAAATGGATTGTTTCTAACTTAATTCTCACATCCATGGCATTGCACAAGAATTACTTGTGTTATTTTAAAGAATCCATCAAGCAATTAATAATTTAATTTGATGCTTTTGTAGTTGCCCTGTTGTAAGACAGTAAGTAATACTTCTGTATTTTTTTTCACATATCATTTGTTGTATATACCTTTCAGTTGTTGATCTCTGTGTGGGGTTTTACTGGCTCTTCCTATACAATCTACTGTGGTGTTTAGGAAGCAGGCCTCTAGCAGTCATCAAAAGTAGTTTGCACTTAAATACATAGTTTGCAACTTGCAGGTTTCCCAAAAGAATCCAACAGTTGCTGCCTCTTGGGTATACCAGCACACTCGGCTCCAGCAAGACCCTTTCATTTTTGCTCGTGGTCTCTGAAAGTAAGCACCACGTTCCTTGTAAATAGAGCGATTCATAGGGCCTAGCCCAGACTCTGAATAAACTTCCATTCCAGCATTCTGCTACCTGTTTACTGGTAGATGGTTTTTTTCTCGTCCCAAGTGTAGGTAGCTCAAATGCATTTAGTTGGGCAGCAGGAGAGAGACTGAATACCATGAAAATATTAATCCCTACTTAGCCATATTCTTTTGAGTTTTACAAGCAGAATTTCAGTTACCGTGATCATCTGGGCCTCAGATGGTGCTAGAGAAAGCACATGTTTGGGAGTTAGTTCTTCCTGCCTGTCACCTCCTCTGTCAGCCTTAGCAGTTTTGGTCCGCCATGGCAGTGCTTTGACTTTAGAAACTGATCAATAGTTTCAGGGACACTTCTAATGATAATGATCACACTCCACAGGAGATGCCTGCTTATGCTCTTTCCATGGCCACTGAACAGGTTGCAACCTGTTGCTGGAGGGGACTTAACAGTACTTGCTTATTATTTTAATAAAAGTAATGTCCAGTCCTGTCTTCAGCAACTGAATCTTTTTCTAATTTAAAAACTCTGAGCTCAGGATAATGACTGTAGCCTTCAGCCTATAGACTGCATCCTTCAAGAAGGAAACTTGCTTGCTGCTGTTACAGAATCACAGAACAGTTGAGGTTGCAAGGGACCCCTGGAGGTCATCTCGTCCAACCCCTCTGTTCAAGCAGGATCACCTAGAGCCAGTTGCCCAGAACTGTGTCTGGACAGCTTTTGAGTATCTGAAAGGATGGAGATTCTACAACCCTCACAGGAAAAAAGTGTTTCCTGGTGTTCGAATGGAACCTCCTGTGTTTGGCCTACCACTGAAAAGAGGCTGACTCTATCTTCTTTACACTTCTTCTTCAGGTATTTATATACGTTGGTGAGATTTCCCCTGAGCCTTTTCTTCTTGAGGCTGAACAATCCCATCTCTCTCAGCCTTTCCTCAAATGAGAGATTCTCCACTCTGTTAATAATCTTAGTGGTCTTTCTCTGGACTCTCTCCAGTAGCTCCATGGCTCTGTTTTACTGAGGAGCCTAGAACTGGACAGAGTACTCCAGGTTTGATCTTACCAGTGCTGAATTAGAAGGGAAAGATCACCTCCATCAACATACTGGCAACATTCCTCCTAATGCAGCTCAGGATACCATTCGCTGCCTTTGCAGCAAGGATACATTGCTGGCTCATGTTCAGATTGGTGTCTACCAGGACCCCTGGGTCCTCTTCTGCAAAGCTGCTTTCTAGTCCATTTGCCCTCAGCATTTACTCGTTCATGGGATTATTCCTCCTCAGGAGGGGGAGTTTGCAATTCAAAAAAGGGAACAGCATGAGATCCCTGCCTGCCCATTTCTCCATTCTATTGAAGTCCCTCTGGATGGCAGCACAATCATCTGATGTATCAACACCAGAGGTCTTGTTCTCATTAAACATGGTTGTAGATTCAGAGATCTGATTGTAGTCCCCAAGATCTTCACCAATATTCTGACTGAAAAGTGTTCATCTCAAAAAGCAGGGTCCTTCATATTACCATGCTTGCAATGACAGCTTCAGATTACACATACACACACACAAAAAAAAAATCATTTACTCAGGGTCATAATGAATATATTCTGTTTTCTTGGACTTCTGTTAAGCTACCACAAACTCCACTTGGTGCCAGTGCCGTATTTCAAATTCAGCAGAGTTGCACATGATCTGTCCTCAGATTTTTCTTCAGAGTATTCTGCAATTTTGTGGGACCTTCTTCTGTGGCTGTAACTTATTGGATCCATGCTTGATATTAACAAATACACAAATGCAGGGCCTTCTACTTGATGCTCTGCTCCTTTAAAGTAATGAAAATCTACTTGCTTTGTAGACAGCTTCAAGCTCCTCTCAGAATAGTAGCTGTTATGTAGTGGCAGAATTATAGTTCTCATGTTGGGTAGGCGTGTTGTACTACTCACCTCCTATGCGGCTGGTACATATTTATTCCCCCGCCCTTGGTTTTGTATCCACTTATAAATGAGGCTCCTCTTAAAAATGAGGAGGAGCTCTACGGAAGTATGAGTGTCTGACCAAAACCAGTTCTTAAATGCAGACTTAATCTCTAGCATTCTGAAGTATTTGTTCAAGTTTAGAGTTGGGTTTAGCCATGATGTCTGCCAATTATGTTGGCAATTTTTTCTGCTTTGTAGCCTCTGAGGGTTCTCTGCTCTTCTTACATCACCTTCCTCCAGTTTGAGATGTTTAAGTACATTTCTTGCCTTGCTGTTGTCTGAATTTGCAACTTACACATTTATGTATTATGTGAATGATTTTGTTTTTGTGTGCGGTTTTTTTTGTTTGTTTGTTTTTTAAGCTACCTATCTAAGGTCTAATTCTCTTCTACAGAATTTACATTCCTTATTGATACTACTTCTTCCCATAGGGTGGGTAAGATTCAGGCCCCTGGCAGTAGAAACATGGTATTAAGATGTACCTCTGTGGGTTATTCATTTTTTTTGGATGTGATTCTACTGGGTTTTGTGGGTTATTAGTTAGGAGGAAATTTGGATATATGGTATACTCGGATTTGTTCAGTGACAAGGGACTTAAGGGTACCCAAGCACTCATGCTAGGAGGTAAATACTCAGTCCTGTGTACTTAAAACACAGCTGCTCAATATCAGTGTAAGTATGTGGGTAATATATATGAAATCTAATGGTAAAAAATTTTATACCTTGCAGGACAGGAGGAGAGTCAGTCTTTGGAGCTATACAGCTTAATTCAAGTTTGAGTTACTAGTCAAGATATATTTTCACCTGTGTTAGTTGATCACTTCTGCCATCTGACTATGGATTCTGTGTGTATATATATAGGCAAGATTGCCTATTGGATTTTTGTTTTACTGATGTACTGAATTGTTTTATGAAAATGTAAAAGTAGCAATTTCCAAAATGCAGGAAGCCACCATGATCTGGATATTTATTTGATAACTGACTTTAAAAGTGACCTGCTTTCAGTAGCTTTGGTGGTAGACTTGATTGATGAAAGCTGGCAACAAAAATTAGGAAAGTTAAGAACATTCTCATTTGATTGCATGGCTTTAAATAATGTTACCTGTGTACACAGAAGGATCTCAAAAGTGCCTTATGCAGAGATGCAGCTTGTAACAGACTGGTTGTTTCTAGTGGAAATTTTCATTGATCAAATACCGTGAACTTCAGTGTATTTGTAGCAGACAGAACTGAGATTTCAGTTTTCTAATACTGAAAGAGTGCAACTACATGGACTTCTTTCACCTGAAAAAGTGCCTTATTTAGAAACTTTTTCCTAAATACCTAATATTTAGTATCAGGTGTAGGAAATAATATTTTGGAGTACTATGTTATAACTGATTTTGCAGGGTGTTAGAATATAATGAGAAGTGGATTAGAAGCAAGCCTGGTCCAGTGATTTAAAAAAAAAAAAAAAATTACTATAATTTGAGATTCTAGCGAGGTATTGGAATGGATATAAACTTAAAATGAGAAAAACACAAGCTATAGTCATGTATTCTTACAAGGTTATAACTTGGATTTATGGAAGAGGACTTTTCGGATTGTCTTAAAAGTTGCCTTTTATAGAAGTTCTCTCTTGAAGACAAGCTTTAATTTGTGTTCCTCCAAAAGCTTTTCTCTTTAAAAATGTAGAACTGCTTGCTTGAAACTTTATCCCTTGCTTCTACTAATTGGAAATCTCTCACTCACTTTCTTTAAATCTTTTTCCTAACAAACTGTAAATAGTTGAAAGCTCTGTCTCACTTCTTTTGATCTTCCAGATAAATTTTATCTTTCAATCTTTGCCATTTATGTTAAGAAAAAAACCACTGTGACAGTTAGTTTGGTTTTTTTAATAAATATTCCTTAAGTGCATTTGTTGTT